GGTGGGGGGGAACCAAGGGCAACACACGTAACCTAGACATCTGTACACCCACAATTTGCTGAAATAAAAAATTAAAAAAAAAAAAAAAGTGAGCAGGTGTAGCCATTCTCCTGTCAGATAAAATAGACTTGAAATCAATAATGGTTAAAAACAACAAAGACAGTCATTATATAATGATAAAGGAGCAATGTTCGGCAAGACACACACACAAAAAGAAGATACGACAATACTAAATATATATGCACTTAACACATCATGTACACGTATATTATAGTACATTGTACTGTTTTCACCATTATCCTGAAAGATCCAAATGAGGAATGTGACCTCTTTGTTTGACATTGTATTTTCACAAACGTATTGAATGTATGTGCATTATGTGGAAAAAATTAAAATAAGAAGTTATGAAATAAAAATAACTTCAGGGGAATAAAACCAGGCTAAATACTCATATGGTGACTTCAGAACAACTGTATTAAACAAAAGTGAATGGAACCTCAAAAACGGACTGAAATGAGATAGAAATAAGAATAATTTATGGTACCATATTGATTCAACATTTAACTGGCAAAGACCCAGACATAAAGTTATATGATATATAACGTTCCTAGAATGTTCTGGCACATAGAAGATCCTTATTATCTGTTACATGTATCAGGAAATAAGTCTCAGTATGTACTGACGTTTACCATGTGAGCAGGTGTATTTCACTTTAGTTGGAAAAGGCTGGATTAGTGAATAAAAGCTGGCGTAAATATCTATCTACCTGGAAGACAATGAATTTTGTCCCTTGTCTCACATTTTACAAAGAATTAGCAGGTTTAAAGACCTTGGTGCAAAAGTAAACAATAGTTTTTACTTGAACATCTAGCAAATTATGTATAAAATCTACATGTAGGCAGACCATCTTAACTAAGGCAAGAAACGCAGAAGTAAGAAGATAGACACATATTTAACCAAACAAAAGGTAAAACTTTTTATGTCCAAATATGTCCCCCCTACAATCAACGGAGAAAGAATAATCTGTAAAAAAACAAAACAAAACAAAAACATTTGAAATGTTGATAACTGTAGGAAGAAAGGGCATATTATTACATACACATCAAAATGGGGGTCATACACATGAATCTTTGCTCAAACCCAGTTTCAGACAACAGCAAGAAATCTCTTTCAAACCCATCAGCCTGTGAAAAATACATAAAGAGCCGCCACGTTGAGTGGGGTTGGAACTTTTAAACAGGTAGCAAATGGGTCCTCT